AAACTATATCAAAACGATATTAAAACGATATCGAAACGATATCGAAACTATATCAAAACGATATTAAAACGATATCGAAACGATATCGTGGTTTCCCCGAGCCTCGTTTTCATTGTGATCGTTTTGGTGCCGCAGCGTTCCTGCAGTTCCGGTGCCCCGAGGAGCCCACGCTGCTGGGCCAGCCACCGGCCGAGACGCGCCTGCTGCGGTCCAACACCGACTGCCAGCACTACTTCGCGTGCGTGGCCGGCCGGCCGCGGCGCTACAACTGCGGCGAGGGCAGGGCCTTCAGCGAGCTGCTGCGCGGCTGCGACGCCGCCGAGAACGTCACCGGCTGGTCAGCGCCCGTCACGTGACGGGGGGTGGGGTACTTTTATCACGGCGTCTACTTTTTGAAAATGCAGTGCCGTAAGTGCGGGCGTTTATCTCCGCAGCTAACATTTGTCCCTGGAGGCGTTTCTCAACTATGTCCGCCAAAGTGCTCAAAAAAGTAACCCACCCCCTAGGCGTGACGTAATACCGTGTAGTTTTCGTTATTGTAATTTACCTTTATTGAGCTCCATATTTTCCTATGTTTTTCCAACACTTTAGTGCTCCAGCAGAGCTGTCCAGGAGAGATGAGCGTCTGAGGCCTACAAGATTGTTTTGAAGAGAAAGAAGAAACGTCGAAGTAGAGAAATATTTCCCACGGTCCTGCCAATTGGCACTTCCCTGACAAACCTGTGATCTCCCTCCACATCTCTGGCGTGGAAATTTCGTTGACGATGATAACTAAGTGCCATTTAATAAATTACAAAGAACATTTAAACGCGCATTTTTTTGTTGTATTGATTTATGTTTTTTACCCCAATAAAATCGTTTCAATAGAAATTTAACAAATCGATCAACCGCCTCTCTTGCATATCTTAAGAAACAGTTATGCCAACCTCTAAAGATCGTATTTTTATGTTATAATAGAGGAACTTTGCATATCGACCCTTTCAGATAAGTCAAACGCTGAAATCTGCTAAAATATTCAAAACCAAGGTCAATAGGCTAGCTGTGGCAACCTTTTGCAAGAGAGCAATAGATTTGCAAGAGTAGGAAGTCGACACGAAATCAGTGCTGACGAAAGGGAATCTGAATACGACTCTGCCACTGCCTGCGCTTATTTCTAGATTTGGTTCTCTGGCATTCGTGGTAGTGGGGGTGGTTGTTGCAGTGGGCCAAACAAAACAAATACTTGGAGGATTTAGACAAAAATTGTCCATGAAAATAATGGAAGAAGAATGGCATTTCAATCTTGAAATTTGACAGCACCTTGCAATACGAGTGTCGAGCTGGTTTATCTTGGTGTCACTACGAAAATGGCCAACGATCGTGAGGTCTTGCGTGAAATTTGGGATGGTCGGGTTCCTGTGTGCTTTCAGCTCGACTCCAGTGAGGTTAATGGGCTGCAGGCACCCGATCCCTACTACCTGATGGTACCAAGATTGTCGTATTTCCCACTAGTCACTGATAAGGTTTGTGGATACGTTTCTCTTTACCGTGTAGCACAGTTTTAAGGGCAACTAATTGATCCACGTGTAAGAGAGGTTAAAAGGTGGCTGCTCACTATGTACACTGAACTGTATTTGTCACTGTTTGCATCAGAGTAAACCTACTTCATTATTTTGTTTTAAAAATTCTATATCTAACATATATTTTCCGTGGCCAGATTTATCTCTCTCTACAATACTGTTATTTCTTTGTTGTCACAGGTTCGACGTCATTTCCAAAGATATATTCATCCCGATAAGCACGATGCAGAAATGTGGGTGGACTTTAACGGACAGCCTTTAAAATGGTAAAATATATTTAAGGGCTTTCTGTTTTCAGTAAACTCATATTGTAGTTGTCACTTACTGTGTATTTATTATGTTGATTTGCAGGCATTACCCTATAGGGGTTTTATTTGATCTTCACATACCAGAAATTTCCCTTCCATGGTGCTTAACTATACACTTTGATAAGTTTCCCGAGGCAGAACTGCTGCATTGCTCCTCAAGGTACAATGTAACTGTAATTTAGAGTGGTATATTAAGTATATCCTTTCAGAATTTATTCCAACAAGCTGTTACTAATTAAATTTGCAGGGAAGCTGTAGAATCTTATTTTATGTCATGTATTAAGGAAGCAGATGTCTTAAAGCATAGAAGTCAAGTAGTATCAAACATGCAGAAAAAAGATCATAACCAGTTATGGCTTGGATTACAAAATGGTAAGTCAGATTTTTCTATCTTACCAGTTCTTGAAAGTACTGTTGAAGGTAAATTCAATTAGATTTGCATTGTATTTTAATTTTTATTTTGCCTTCTTTTCTGTTCCAGACAAATTTGATCAATTTTGGGCTGTAAATCGAAAGCTTATGGAGGTTGGCAGTGACGAAACTTTCAAATATATTCCATTTCGGTTGTATCAGGGAGATGAACCTTTCATACAACGCTTAGTCAAACCTGTGACAGAAGAAGGTCAAAGGAAAACTCTGTTTCAATTTTTGCAGGAAATTTACGCAGAAAATGCCAGTAAAGGTAAAAACCGTGCATTACCCTGTCCTTGTTTTTCTCTATAGAATTCACAGCACATTTTAATTTTATTTTCTTTAATTTCAGTCAAAGTAACAACGCATGGAGTAGAGCCACCATCCGATACCCCTCTGCAGTGGATGAGTGAACACCTAAGTTATCCAGATAATTTCTTACATTTGTGTGTTGCTTTCTAGTATAATTAACGCCAGACAGTACAGTGTCCGACTTTGGAAACATTTTGTCACTCAAGAGCTGGGAAATAAACTTAAATTTAATTTTGTCTGTGCTCTTGTTTTACTTGTGCTGCGTTCCAATTTTACTTGTTCTATTTGTTAAGGTAGCAATTTTTGTAAAATCATCAATGTAACTAAAAAAGGAATACATGATTCAGAAGTACAACATTTTGTATCTCCTGCTAGAAACAAAGGAGGGCATAACTTGTCAATTTTGATTAACTTATTGTGTCTGTGTGATAACTGATCTTTTACAATTAATGATTTTTTTAATATTTGCTACGCCCTGGTTGAGTTATTTTTAAAAGAAATCGTTGCTTAGTCATTTCACACAGTCTGGACATTAATTCAATGGATTTTTCCTTCTGCTGTCATTAAAAACTGAATGCCAGCCGTGGACTCAAGTCACACCTATTTTATATATGACTGTATCCATTACTGTTTTGTAAGCTGCTGTTATCTTATAAATTTATTTTGGCAGCAGTTTCAGATACTGATGTTTACTATCTTGTCAAAGAGTGCTATTTTTCTTTCCCTGTGATACTTTTTATATTTAATAGGGGTGTTGTACCTGTTTCAATAAAAATGAGACAAAACAAAAAGTAACAAAAGGCAGTTTCCTTTCTCAGTATGTTTGTGGCAGTATCCCTCCCTAACCCATGGTACTCCGTCGTTCAACTAGACCAGAGGGAGGAAAACAGAAATAGCAGTCAAAGACAGACTAAAATCTCTAAAATTAAACAAAAACTAATCATGTCTGGAAAATGAAAAGAGATCTTTCAACAGGGCGTCGCACTAATGTGATATGGTGAGCCTTGTCAGTTATCGTAGATATATTGCTCATACTACGTAATCCCAGTGAGCACTGTTGACTTTCACTCCGGTGACGGATGGGTTGCCTGCCAAGCGGGCAGGCGGCGGGCCCCAAAACGACGTCCCTGTTTGTAGCTACAGGATTGTAGCTACAGCCGACAGTGCTCGAGTTGCAGCTTAAACTGAACCGTCTATACGTCTATACTACCCTTCTTATACTATACTACCCGTCTATACCCTTCGCCAAATATAATTATTATTAACAGCAATCGCCCATAATAGTTTATTATCCTGATCATTTCACTATTGTCACTTGGCACTTCCCTGGCGTTGCCGCCTGGAGCCACACAACGATGC